GTGATCTGCCTGTATCAGCCTCCCAAAAGTGCATGGGATTACAGCCAGTCAGCACCATGTCTGCCTAAAAACAATTTTTAAGGTCAGAAGACTTTTGAAAATGAATCACATCTCTCTCCAAATTGCTGAGTGGCAGATGCAACAATCTGGCTTTGGCTACACAGCTTTCCAGTGAAATAAATGCCACCTGCTTTTAACAACATGACATCATCCATACTTTTTGCACTTGCCTAAAAATACACCTGCAAACACTTAACTAATGGGCTGAAACCATCTCCAGCTTCCACAGCGTTTCCCCTAAAGTCTCCATCATGTGCCCATTCTGTCATTTTTCTGAGTGAGACTGTTAGATAACCAGTTATCCTATAAATAGCTAGTATCAACATTTAGCTCGTCTCAGAAAACAAAAGCGTGGGCCGGGCGCAATGACTCACGCCTGTAATCCCAGCACTTTGGGAGGCCGAGGCAGGTGGATCACCTGAGGTCAGGAATTCCAGACCCGTCTGGCCAACATGGAGAAACCCTGTCTCTACTAAAAATACAAAAAAAATTAGCCGGGCGTGGTGGTGGATGCCTGTAATCCCAGCTACTCAAGGGGCTGAGGCAGGAGAATCTCTTGAACCCAGGAGGCAGAGGTTGCAGTGAGCCAAGATCGTGCCACTGCACTCCAGCCTGGGAAACAGAGTGAGACCGTCTCGAAAAAACAAAACAAAAAAGCCCCATTGATTTGGTTTTGATCAGTTATTAACTAGTTAGTAAGCAAACTCATCCTTTGCAGGCCACGTTGCTTATTAATATCTGTATTTGGCTCTAAAGTTCATGCTGTCTTGTCGATGTCCATTTTGGGTTTGAGCAAAAGACACAAAAAATATTTTTTGGCCGGGCGTGGTGGCTCATGCCTGTAATTCCAGCACTTTGGGAGGCCAAGACGGGCGGATCACAAGGTCAGGAGACTGAGACCATCCTGGTTAACATGGTGAAACCCCGTCTCTACTAAAAATACAAACAAATTAGCCAGGTGGAGCCAAGATCGTGCCACTGCACACCAGCCTGGGAGACAGAGCGAGACTCCGTCTCAAAAAAAAAAAAAAAAAAAAAAACGTAAGTATTATATTATTAGTATAGTTATACTATACAAAAATATAATATTTACTCTTATTTTTCCATACTATTTGATTGTTTTTTTTTTTACAGGAAAGA